AGTTTGGAACCATTGGTATAGAAGTTACCAATCTTGTACCTTTATTCTACCAAAAAGAGAACCCATGGTGGTACGGTGAAAAGGACACAATTTAGCGTCCTCCTCCGCAAAGGGCAACAGGGACGCCTTACATGTGCCACCGAAAATCTTTGATACCTTCAAAGAAGTACTTGTCTCCTCACCCGGCCCCTTCCCCGGCTCCTCATTTGTTGTCACATGGTCAGTAAAGACAGGAAAAACCAGTAGGAAAGTCCCGAACATAATACTCACCGACATGAACATTGGACCAGCGCTCTACAGTTTGCAAAGCCCCTTCCAGCACAGGAGCCCTGGCACTGAGCGGAATGCTTACCAACCCTTTGCAGAAAGACCTGACAGTATTGCTTCCATCATTGATTGTTTTAAACAAGTCAGTACCTAATAATTAAAGGAAATTAGAGATTAGAAATGAGGGCTACCTGCTGTCTCAGATGGTGGAACCTGTGACTCTTGATCTTGGGGTTGTGAGTTCAAGCCCCACGTTGGGCGTAGAGATGACTTTAAAAAAGTAAAGAAGGAAATGAAAAGTCTCACTACCTGAATGAAGGTAAGCATCACTCCCATTTTAGTATATTGATTTCAGGTCCCTTTTCCATTTATAGCTTTTGTTCCAAGGAAGGTAATTGTGACCTGATTTTGTAGAGTGCTTTTTACTGAACGTGGTAGCATGAGTTCTTCTCACACTGTCTTTATGAGACATAATTTTAATGGCCTCATGTTTGCTTATGAGCTTTATTTTTAGCACAAAATCTACCATGAGTTGTAACAGTCTTTGTGAGGGCTGGCTCCATATCTGAAACTACCTGGTGAACTTTTTTTTAAGATTTTATTTATTTATTTGAGAGAAAGAGAGAAAGTCAGAGAACAAGCATGAGTTGGGGACAGGGTGATGGAGAAGCAGACTCCCTGCAGAGCAGGGAGCCTGACGCGGGGACTCGAACCCAGGACCCTGAGATCATAACCTGAGCCGAAGGCAGGCGCCTCACCGATGGAGCCACCCAGGCGCCCCTATCTGGTGAACTTTTAAACAGTATTTTTTTGTTGTTGCAAAATAGATCAGCCAGATAGGAGCGTCCCTAAAATGTAAACGTCCAGCTTTGTGGACAGTAAAAGGAACAGTATGACCACACGTAGCCCGTAAACCGAATTCCACAAGCCCTCATCCCTCACTGCTGTCCGTCCTTGTAAGGCTTCCCTTCCCTGCTCTGCCTTCTGGGCTGATGACCCGATTAAATATCCCCCAACAATACAGCTTCGTCTGGGTGGGTTTGCGTTTCTGCAGGGGGAGCCACAGGGCGTGTGTTCCGCCACGTCTGCCCCCTTGGCCCGCCAGCACGGCTTCCGTATCCACCTGGCCGCCGCCGTTCATCGGGGCTGCCTCGGCCGTGTGGACACATGCCCGCACACAGTCCTGCGTGTGTTTCTTGGTGGACGTGAGTGCGTCTTGCTGTGGTGTGCGTGCCTGGGAGTAGAATCACCAGGTCACCAGGTGCCCGTTCCTGCATCTTCTCTTCCACGGACGGTTGCCAAACGTTTCCGAAGTGGTTGTGTCCACTTACCGCCCTGTCAGGAGGGAAGGAGAGGGTCTGTGCTTCACCTCTTTGTCAACCCTCCGTGCTGTCCACCTTTAAATTTTTGTCGGCATCACATGATGGTTTTAATTTGCATTTCCCTTTTCCCTAATGAAGCCGGCTGTCCCCTGCACCGCCCTCCCTGCCATTTTAGATTTCTTCTTTTATAAAATGCCCGTTTTGTAAAAACGCCATTTTTGGGGGGCTTGGCTGTCTTTTTCTCACTTTGTAGTAATTCTCTATAGATTCTAGAAGTGAGCTCTTGGTTGTATGGTGTGGCAGGTGTCTTTCCCATCGGTCACTTTCTCACTGGGTCTTCTGATGAGCAGAAGTTCTTGACTTCAACGTGACATAATTGTGTTTTCCCTTTATGGCTAGTGTTTTTGTGTTTTACCTGGTGAAGTTTTCGAGTGAAAGCTTGGGGTTCAGAGTGCTGGTTGTGACCAGGGATGTGAGTCTGCACCTGAAAGCTGGGATTTGTACAGGTTGGTACTGGGTGTCGGGTGCGGGCCAACAGGAAGCTAGGAGCCAAGTCTTCTTGCGAAGCAGCTCCAGCCTCTCTGTAAGATCACAGTGTCCGAGGACGGATTCGGGACCTCGGCAGAGAAGGCTGCCCCACCGGGCAGGCCACGCCCTTGGCGTGTGGGCTCATTGCTCCCTTCTTTGTTCCGTGGGGCCCTGAAGTCCAGGGAGGCTTGTGTAGAAGGCAGGATCCTGACAGCATAGGGATGCTGGATGGAGCAGAGTTAACACTTGCTCATGGCTACACTAGGTTATCCCGTGTGATTCTCCCCAGCCTGCGGATCAGGGCACGGGGGGGGAGGCCAGTGTGATGCCACACTGACCGGGAGGGCCTGCACGGGGTGTTCTACCTTCAGTATTAATTGTCTCTTCATCAGTCGGTAGAGCATGAGACTCTTAATTGTCTCTTCATCCTCGGCCCTTAGTTTGCAGTTTTCTCCTTCTCTTATCTTTTTCTTTGATTGATGCCTCATCTGTTCGTAACCGATAGCAAAGGGGGACCCACGCTCCAGATGTGGGGTTTTTTCACTCTCTGGGTGTTCTCTCCCTCCCCCCACCTCCCCATTCTGTGAAGTAGCCGATGGCCCTTGTGCTTTGGGGGGTCAAAGACAACTTTAGGGATCTAATGAAAGTTGTAGAGGGAGGAGGAGACCCCAGTCTTACCTCTGCTCCCCTCAAGGGTCCCTGAGCCCTGGGTTGAAAACTGCTGCTGGGATGGGCCTCCCCGTCCATGATGGAAGGGGAGGGAGCTGGGATGGCTTCCCTCAGCGGAGGGCATTTTCCTGTGCGGCGGTCTGCTGACTCCAGGTGCCCCTCTCTGGGTCCCTCGTCGTTCCGGCCTCACTGGGGGCTCTCAGACCTCGGGATTTGGGGTCCAGGTTGCGGTGGCCACCTATTCCTTGCTCAGATCTCTCCCTCAAAATCCTTTCTGCTGACCATTTTATAATAACCTGCCCTTCCAACTGCTCCTGCCCCAGGCAAGGACCCCCGAGACCTTCATCCCGGGACACTCTTCCAAAGGCACAGTTGCATTGGGTGGTGCTAAGTTCCAGGGGCTGGGGCCGCACAGACACGTCCCTCTAGAAAGAGAGAGCAGATCCGGGTTCTGAGCACCTGTGTCTGCAGGAGGATGGAGCATCTCTTTCTTCTGTTTGTTTTTTAAAATTTATCGTATCTTCTGTTTCATCTTGCCTGTATGATTCTTTTTTAAGGATTTTATTTGTTTATTTGAGAGAGAGGGAGAGGGTCAGAGGGAGAAGCAGGCTCCCCACTGAGCAGGGAGCCCGACACGGGGCTCGATCCCAGGACCCTGGATCATGACCTGAGCCGAAGGCAGATGCTTAACCCACTGAGGCAACCAGGCGCCCCGTGTATGATTCTTAATAATCCCTTGTCTATCTCCCTGCCCCTTGGCACGCTTCTGTTGTCCTTCCTGCATGTCGCGGAAAGGTGATTCTTCTCAGAGCATTAACTTTGTTCCTGTCACCTTGCCCTTGGCTCCCGTGTCCCTCCTCATCTCCAGGACAAGCCCTGACCCTTAGCACATTCACGCTGCTCCCAGATGCACCCCCCTGAGCCGCGCCCTGGACTCTGCACCTGCTCCTCACTCTCCAGCGCTTTCCCGAGCCGTGCCGTGTGCACCTGACCCTGCTCGGGGAGAGAGTTCTCCTGATCCCCCGTGTCTTCGAGTCCTGGCTGCCCCCCGTGGCGCAGCTCCGATGCTGGCTCTCCGTGAACGCAGTGTGTCCCCTCCAGAAAGAGCCCGTCCCTCCCTGAACTCCTTCTTAAGAACCCCCGTTTTCCTGTGGCATTTCGGGAAGCTGGGGGGAGAAAGCCGGGTTGAAATCCTGCCATTCCCTCCGTTCTTGGCTGCTGGTTCCTGTCACTGAAGGCCGTTATCAGAGCGAACTTCACGTGGCCCTGGGAGCAACGGTAGGTTCTTATGCCAAAAAGCAAAATTGTCAATCATGGGCTGCAGCTTTACCGGGATGATATGGGATGATTTTCCCAGGTGCTCGTACCGGTTTGTACGCCCACAGCGGTGTGATGGAGCTCCCTTCCCGTGTCCTGGCTCACCCTGGACCTTGTCTGATGTCTTCACCTTCGCTGCATTCCTCCGCGTGGGCCAGGACCCCCCCCACCCCATGACGTCTGTCGGCTTCCCGCCCAGAGGAGGGGGAGAGCAGGGGGAGAGCACACCCTTCTCTCTGAAGCTGCACATGCGTCATTCTGCTCGCAGTCCGCTGACCAGAGCTGCGGCCTGTGTACACGGCAGGCACCGACTAAACGCCCAGAGGCAGTGGCTCGGGAGACCACTCAGGAAGGCTCCGACGGGTTTAGTCCCAAGGAGAGGCTGAAGACACTAGATTTGTCTTCAAATTAATCGTCTCTCAGGACCTTTGTCTGATAAATGTTCGTACCTTTAATGTTTTATTAAAACCTCACTTGAAGGGCTCTTCATAAAACTAGTACAATTGGCTAGACGTGCTTTTGCTTTTACTTCAGAAATATGGAAATTGGTGATTATCAGAGAAACTCTGAAGAGGGGAGGGTAGGAAACGAGAGGGCTCTGGAACTGGGAAAGGGGACTTAGGACGCATCTGTTTCTTAACTCCCACCCCCAAACGTGCCACGTTCGTTATTTTCACAAAATGTGGAAGACAGAATCCCAGTCACTTCATCCTGAGACGGGCCCCTGGCGTGTCTGTGTGAAGTTCACGCTGATTCTAAGCTCAGGTGTACAAGTGTGATGATGTCTCTTTAAACCAGGAGCTGTGGGGGTTTGGGGAGTTTAAGCTATTACGGTTTTGTCTCCCTTCTGTCTTCCGGCCGTTAGCTAACGGTGAGCACCCCCTGATTTCTGTCCAGGTACGGCGTGAGTCCCGAGAACATCATCCTGTATGGCCAAAGCATCGGGACCGTCCCCACGGTAGACCTGGCCTCGAGGTATGAGTGTGCCGCCGTCATTCTCCACTCGCCTCTGATGTCGGGGCTGCGCGTGGCTTTCCCGGACACCAGGAAAACGTACTGCTTCGACGCTTTCCCCAGGTAAGCTCACACGTGTGCAGCAGGTGCCAGGGCGCCCAGTGACCCGGGCTCAGATGCCACTGTGAATGGCGGGCCACTGATCAGTCTTTCCTGAATGCAGCCACGCGTCAGACCCTGTGCTGGGCACCTCGGGGAGGTGATGGTGACACCAGCCAGAGACTTGGTCCTCCGGGCCTGACTCATCTGTAGAGCTCTCCTGGATGACGTGTGAGGACCTTGCTCGTGCTGACATCCAGGGTTAATGGACTCGGTTGTATGTGCAAGATGAAAACAAAAGTGCCCACACGTATCCTGAAAAAAAGTACCGTTCCAGATTCGCACGTTCACGCAGATGGGCGTGTATGGTGGAGTTGCGGAGAGCTACATGCAAAATGCATGATGAGGCACTTAGCGGTCTGCACACGCACACAAAGCTGCAGACGTGCTCAGTTTTAGAACCTCCTCCTCCTTCGATGAGACCGTGCAGGTGAGGGCGGAAGGGGAGGTGAGCTGCAGGCCAGACCTTCTGTGCTTTGGTGACAGGCCACCATCCTAGGATCAGGGAACACAGCCCTGGGAGCCCTTCGTTCCAGCCTGCTCCCCAGCTCCTCCCACGGGCCTCCTTGCCTGTGGAAGCACGTGGATGGGAGCCCACGGCTGGATCCTCCCGGCCCGGCCCTGCTCTTTGCTCATCCCGCTGACGGAAGGAAGGGAACTGGGTCATCACCATGCTCTAAATGCCAGAGCAGTGAGCTAGTGGTTTCTTGAATACCTCCGTTTGAAAATTTTACTTGTTTTTTTTTTTCTTCTTCTTTTCTTAAAATCCGAGTTGAGGACAGTGTTTTCCATAAAAACGATTTGCCCCCTAAACTTTTCCCATCGTGCGTGGCTAAAGCAAGTCTGAGGCCGTTAGGGCAGGACTGGCCGGCTCGTGTTGCCATTTTGTAGGAAACGCCCCCACAGGAGTAAAGCCCTGTCTCAGGATTTTGATTGACCCCCTCCTGGCTGTCATTCTGCTGTCGCTCGAGGGGAGCAAGCATCGCTTGGTTACGTCAACATCTGCCGCACAGCCTGTCTTGCAACAGCAAGAGGCCTTCTGTTGGCACGTTGGGTGAACTTCAGTTCCGTGCAGTTGTTCCCGGCACTCAGGGCAGACTCCAGCTTCAGGAGAGGGTTGACCTAGTGGCGAATTCCTGCTGGCATGGCGGGGCAAACATGCAGCTCAGATGTGGCCATGTTTGTGCCGAACGGGTAATGAGAGGCCAGTTTGTGGAAAGGGAGATGTTTAGCATGTTTGTGGGAGGGATGCTAGGCGTTACCATGGCAACAAAACGCCTAGGTTGTTTCCTGACTCTTAAATTAGCATACACCTTAAAATACAGCCATGGCAACTAACCGCAGCTTATTAATTAAGAGTCAACCAGCAACCGGTCTTCCCTGGGTCTGTCTGATCCACCAGGCGTTGCAACAGCTCCCCCTGCTCCTCACCTCACCCCTACCATAGGCTTCCCAGCGGCCGGGAGAAGTGGGTCAAGTCATAGAGTCCTCATTTTAGAGATTAGGGTGCTGAGGCTGACCGAGGTAAGCAGTGTGCTGGAATTAAGGTAGGGGTGTGGACACTGCCCCGAAGGCCATCCCTCCCACCGGTGCCCTGGAGCGTTAATACGGTAGCTCCTCGAACCACAGTCACCCGGACCCTCATCGTTAATTGAATTCAGTAGACGTTCTGTTATGGGGCCCGTTGCTGCCGAGGGTCAGAATTGTCTCCGTTTGTGTTCCTCTCTTTGGAGGAAGGCATTTCCCACTTCCTTTCAATATTACCAACAACGCAAGAGGAGCCCTGATCACTGTGGTTTGTAGCTTCTTTTCCTTTACCTGCTTTCCATTTAGACTCAAACGCTGACATTTAGCTTGAGATGCACCCTCAGGCTGTAGAGATTCTCCTACTAAATTGTGCAGCACGGAGCACAGCCCCAGGCCCGTTCTGCTGGTACGCATCTTTTTAATGGAATATAATTGGACTCCCACATTCTCAGAAGAAGAAGTCTCGTTAACATGAAACCGGAGAAAAACGGGTTTCTAAACACGACTGCTAATCTGGGACATTGCATATGCCGCCACCCAAGGCTCTGATCTTGGCAAATCCCACAGCCCGGTGGGGTTTTGCCATCTCCCTTGGGTGTCCCGAAGTGGTGGGTGGTGTCGCGAGCTGCTGATCAAGGTTCTGTGACAGTTGTCTGTAGGTCTCTGGGCGGTGCCCTTGATGCGAGGGCGCTGTTACCTGCCCAAGCTCAGGCCGGCGGTATTCGTCCTCACTGGCTTTGGTGCCCTCCTCGCTTGCCCGGAGCCGGGGCTGTCCTGCTCCTGGTGTCCTGCTGGAGACTCAGTGAGGTTTTTTTGTATGGAAAGCACAGAGCACCTGGCTGTCGAAATTATTTCATCAGTGTTAGTCGTTCCTGTGAGCAGCAGGGTCCCTGCAGCTAGTTGCAGTCGGTATCCTTTTGTAGCTTTGGCCGGGATCAGACACAGAAAGAAAAGTCACCGGTGGGGGGCTTCGGGTGCCAGGACAGGTGGCCAGATCCGCCCGTCTTGCTGTGTCCGTAGGTTAAACGGCGGTCCCCTCCGTGGGGGAAGTCGCCTGCACGCCCTGCCAACAAGGCTTACGTCTGGAATTCCTCTTTGGGAAATGTTTTCAGAGCCTGCAGCACATTCTTTTGAAGATCCTCAAATATTCATCCTTTGAGGGTAGATTCCGTTCTCATAAACAATCCGAGATCACTCAGACTCCAAGCTAGGCATTGTATTATGTTTTCAAGCGAAGTACTACAGTTTTTACCAAAAAAAAAAAAAAAACGAGGCATAAGCATTTATGAGATGGGGTTTTGAGGATCTTTTGAGTCGATTCTGAAGTCGTCTTGCCAAGAAGACTGCAAACGCGGGCAGCCGAGGATTAGCTGTTCAAGCTTTCAGAAGAGACGCTCTGTCGGACATGTCGAGTTCTGGCCTGTTTGTTTATTTTTTTTTTTTAAATCCTCTCTCAAAAATATGAATATATGAGAAATATTAGCTACTGGATTGTTAGCCTGGTGGCCTTTAGGAGTTCTGTTTTTAATAACATATTTTAACGAGCGCGCAATGGCCAGATGCAGCGTGGTGTTCTTGACCGGATCCTGGAACAGAGAAAAGGCATCCGGGGGAAAACTAACAAAATCCAGGCAAAGTGTGGGGTTTTGTTCATGGTGGCGCCTTGACATTGGTTTCTTGGCTTTGACAGACATGTCCTGGCACGTGCGGTGTTAGCCTTACGGGAGACGGGCTCGGGGCCAACGGGATTTCTGTTATCTTTGCACCTTTCTTGTAAAGCCAAAATTATCCCCCCAAATGAAAAGTTTATTTAGAAAAAAAAAAAGAATCACTAGAAAAATGAGGGAAACCCCCCCCCCCGGTGTTAGCATCAGGTACATCAGATGCGACGTGCACTGTCCATGGGCATCACTAATGGAGCCCTCTCTCCCCCTGCCCCTGTTCTGTTCTGCAGCATCGACAAGATCTCTAAAGTCACCTCGCCTGTGCTGGTCATTCACGGTACAGAAGATGAGGTCATCGATTTCTCCCATGGCCTGGCCATGTACGAGCGCTGTCCCCGTGCCGTGGAGCCCCTGTGGGTTGAAGGGGCTGGGCACAATGACATAGAGCTTTACGCACAATACCTAGAAAGACTAAAACAGTTCATATCCCACGAACTGCCGAATTCCTGAAGGAGACACCGTGATTTTACCTCACTTAACTGTGAACACACAAGTCCTCTGTTTTGCACATGCTCGAACTGGAAAGCGGTCATGGCAGGATCACCCGGAGGAGGTACCCGCCTCTCAGTGTTCTGATCAGAGACCTGAGCAAGTCCCCGTCTTCTGTCCCTCGAGGTCGTTCTGCTCCTCACAGCACGCGGCACCGAAAGGTGGTGACGCCCAGCATCATTGCCTGGCGGGAATGGGGACGAGAGCTGGGCGCGGGCACGGTCGGTTTGCCCCGTGCTGTGTAGACGATGCTCACATTGGTTGCTTGGCCGTACCCACGGCTGACGATTCATTCCTGCAGGACTCAGCCCTCTCTCCACCAATGTTCTCAGTACTTGATATGCAGCTCTTTTTCAGCTTCTGGATTCATGGGTTCGATCCATTTGTGAAGCCGTGATCGTGTAACCGGGACACTAGGGTGATGAAAATTCCTTTGTTAAGTTTCGTGACCATGCCGATCTCCCCCCCCGCCACCCCAACAAACAAATCAGTGGAAGGGTAATTTACTGGAACTATCATGAACAGCTTTATCAACTGGAACCATATAAATATAACTGGAATATTCTTAAAAGGAAACTGGGGTTTTTTTAAGTGTAAATTTATTACTAGTCAACAGAGTTTTAATATTTTGATTGTCTGGTTGGTCTAACAAAGAGCCTAGGCAACTTTCCTTCTGTGAAGTCCTCCTTGTAGGCTTTTTTAAAGTACTGTACATATTTGCAATCACATTGTGCATAGATTCTTAATGGGTACTTTTCTTTTGTCAGGCTACCACAATGAACTGCAGATCCCTTGTTTGTAATGTAAATGATTGAATACATTTTGTTAATATGTTTTTATTCCTATGTTTTGCTATCGAAAAAAATTTTATAACATTTCCAAGACAAAAAAAAATTACAAGTTTATGCTTTGAAGAATTTATGTAATGAAAATTTCATTAAACTAATCTTTTTAGTTTAAGACTTCTTTGGGTTTTGACACTGGAGTTGCACCAAGTAAGCATCAGGCACGTCCGATGCTTCACCATTGCTACACGACTCATCTTGGGCGGGGGTCTGGGGTCGGGGGATTTCTTTGGTTTTATTTTAATTTTTCTTTTCAAATTTAAAAGCCTTAAATGTACTGTAAGCCTCAGATTGTTGTACAGCGGGATTGCGGTTGATTCCAGTTTGTGTGCTGTGCTTGGATACGGCACAGCAGTCGGTCATGGAATAAAGGATGCATGGATCAGAACGCGCAGCCTCCTGTGGTCTTTTCCTCTATCTCTCTCTCAGAGAAAGTAGCAAATGAGAAAACAGTGCACGTTGGTTGAAGCAGAAACCCTTGGGGCTTACAGACTTTTCGACCTCTCTCAAGGTGTATGCTTTTGTTCTGGAAGAGACCCGAGGTTCCATTTGGAAGAAGCCAGGGAAGCAGGGAGGGAGGAAAGGAGGGAAGGAGAAAAAGAAGAAAAGAAAAAGGTATAAGAGGGGCGCCTGGGTGGCTCGGTTGGTTAAGCATCTGCCTTTGGCTCCGGTCATGATCTCGGGGTCCTAGGATTGAGTTTCACGTTGGGCTCCCTGCTCAGCGGGGAGTTTGCTTCTCTCTCTCCCTCTGTGCTCTCCCTCTCTCTCTCTTTCTGTCTCAAATAAATAAATGAAATCTTTTAAAAAAAGGAAAAGGTGTGAGACATGGGAAAAAAGAGGTGAGCATGTTCTAAAGCCAGACTGTTATGGTGGTTCCACGACTCACTAAACTTTCAGAAAACCATTCAAACATGCACTTAAAAGGAGTAGATTTTATGATATGTAGATGATACCTCAATAAAAAAATCTAAAAAGAAATAGCAAATAAAACTGTTCTCAGATTATGATTGTGTAGAATACCTGGAAGTATCTACAAATTATTTGATGTAATAAGAATTTAGCTAGGTTGCTGGACATAAAATAAATACACAAAAATCAGTCTTATTTCTATAAATCAGTAAAAAATGTTTAAAATTCCACACAAAAAAGGGGGAAGATACCATTTACTATAGCATTAAAAAATATTAAGTACCTGGGAATAATCTAACAGACCATGTACAGGACACATCCTAGAGAGAATTATAAAACTTTTAAAAGACATTAAAGAAGACCTGATTTAATGAGAGCTATACCATGTTTATGGATAAGGAAGTTCATTTTTAATCCCTCCAAAAATAGAGCTGTCGGGTTAATAGGATCCCAGTAAAAATCCCAACGGGATTCTCTGTGGAACCTGATACAGGGAGCCTTAAGTTTATGTGGGAGAACAAAGGGCCAAGAATAGCCAGGGCATTTGAAAATGAAAATGATGGAGGAATATATTTTACCAGGTAGAGACAATTGCAGTTAAATCTCAAGACTGAGAACCCTCAGTCCGTCGGGATTCTGGAGTCTAGAAAGCCTTCCCTGGTCCCCTGGTTAGGTTCAATGCCCCCCAGTAAGCACTGCTTCAATATTCTGTATTTGCTGACATAGCTGATACCATTACGGCTTGAAACCACAGAGGAATGAGTTTACAGATTTATTTAAAAATATAAAACTTTCATAGTAAAAAAAAATAGCCTAATGTAGTGACACACTGAGGGGAACATTATCAACCATGTGGCATAATGTAAATACATATGTAATGGTCAAAGGACAAGGCAGTCTATCAAAGAGCACAGGACATGAAGAGACGTCATCAGGGATATTGTCTGTAATAATCGCATGTAGATTCAGAAATCAAATAATCAAATGAATATATCCAATAAGTACACATTAAATGTCTCATTATTTAATGCAATGCCATGTTAAATTACAAAGTTGGTATCAGTATTTATTTGAAGAGATTGCCCGTAATCACTCATAGATTTTATCAGCTAAGGAGATTTGAGTAGTCAGCTGCCATTTGAAGTTGTGAGTCGGTGTAACCACTCGAAGTAGAATACCCATGGGTGGTCAAGGTGCGGGTAAATGGGCACTTTAAAAATACGCTGTTTATTTTACCCACCAAATTAGTACAAACATTCTAAAGTATACTTAGAACCAAAAGTCTAATCTAGCCATTTAGCTCCTAGGAATTTATCCTTAGGAAATAATCCAGAGGATGAGATGGGTTTGGAGGGATAATCTCGGGGACTCTCTGTTAGAGTGGAAACCGGCCAGTGGTCTCAGTCCGCAGCACCGTGATCTGCTTACTGTTATGTTCACGCCGTGCCTTGCTCAGACCCCTCAAGGATGCTGCAGAGTGATAGTAGGCATCAGTTCTATCATATAATAGTGCATCTTGACAACAGATAAACTGGTCCCCAAGGCCTTCAGGTGGCATGGTTCCTCTCTTCGCCCCTGCCCCTCCGTCCGTTGACACCTGGCCAGAGAGCTGGATATGCACCAAAACGTTTGCAGATGTACATCGCTGCTGGGATTTAGGTGTAGCTCAACAGGTCTCTGCAGAGGAAAGCCTGAGCCCATCCTTCAGGATGCATGCGAAGTGCCTATGGGATGGGACCTGCAAGATCTTTCCCTGCTGTCATTGGTCCCGGGACCCCGCTGGGTGGCATTATCTCACTCCTGAGAGAATGTGGCTTTGGCTGGAGGGGACAGGCAACCTGGGTGGATCTCATCCCCTCGTGTGTAAGGCCTACAAAGCCCGAAGCGGAAGTGCCATGAATAGCAAGTCCCATGCCGCCCGCCTCCCGTGCCGCCTCTTCCCTGAGGCCCCGCCCACCAGGGTTTCCTCAGGGAAGACAGCTGCTCCTCCGGGAGCTGGCCCAACTGGGTGCGTTCCATGGCAGAGGGCCCGGGCGCAGCCCTGCAACAAGGCGGCCTGGCCTAGCCCTGTCCCTAATCCTTACCAGCCAGGAGAGGATATATGTAACATGCAATTCACCCTTTTAAACCAATTTTAAGCACATAGCCCAGTGGCATGAAGTATGTTCACATTGTGCAACCGTCACCCCCATCTGTTTCCAGAACTTTGTCATCATCCCATACTGAAACCCTGTCCCCCTAGACACTAACTCCCCATCCCCCCTCCCCCAGACCTTGGCAGCCCCCATTCCTCTTCCTGTCTCCATGAATTTGACTACCGTAAATAACTCACACAGATGCAATCAAATCATACACAAGTACCTACGTTTGTGTCCTTTTGTGCCCAGCTTAACTCACTTAAGGTAAGGTTGTCAAGGTTGATCCACGGTAACATTTCAGCCCTTTTCAAGGCTGAATAGTGTTCTGCTGCGTGCAGATACGCTACATTGTGTTTGTTCATTCACTGGTCCGCTGATGGACGCCTGGGTGGTTTGTTGCCTTTGGCTATAGTGGACAGTGCTTCTGTGAACATGGGTGTGCAAATATCCGTTTGAATCCCTGCTTCCGGTTCTTTTAGGCAAATACCCGGAAGGGGGATTGCTGGATCCCATGGTAATTCTGTGTTTAATATTTGGAGGAAACACCGTACTTGATCTGCAGTTCCGTTAGCCGGAATCTTGGGGTCTTCAACCCTTTTGAAATTGCATGGCCTACTTTGGAAATCTTTACTTATGGGCATTTTTCTGGGGAGAAGGTCCACAGTGTCAGCAGTCTCTCCAAGGAATCAGTGATTGTGGACGATTAAAAACACTGAATTACATGGTAGCCACAGGTTCTTTTAAAACCAGTATTTTCAACTTCTGAGAACTGAGTGAGGCTTTGGGAGAGCGGAAGGAGCTCGGATTTACCCACCGGCGGGCCTGGCAGGGGCGTGGGTTGGGCGGAGGTTGCTCTCTGCGGAGGGCGGGGGTTCCTGCAGGTGCGGGCTGGAGCACGGAGCACGGATGCCTTCACAGGCCCAGAACATCAGGGGAGGCCGTGGGAAGAGCCCTCACCACAGAGACATAGCAGGCCTGGCGCTGAGTTTGGGTGCCATGGTAACCGCGTGACCTGGGACAACTCCTCACCTGCCCTGAACCCGCTCTTCGTCTCCAACCTGCAGTAACACTGCCTGCCCAGTCACGGGAGGATCGGGTGAAATTCTGGGGGTAGAAACGTTTTGCAGGAGGTAATGGGCACTTGGACCCACTCATTAAAGGCATGGCTGGGGTCTGGGTTTAGAACACAGCAGAGAGCACTTGGTAAGCTCCAGGTTAAGACAGCCTATCTATGCTGCCCGTGCCCTCACCACAGTGGGACTTAATCAGTAGTCGGCTGCTAAATGATTTACCGTCTGGCTGGTCCCAGCTTGCTCACTCCCCACGCTGTCTGGCTCTGTCTGGGTACGAGTGGAAACCGGCCCAGGGGCTCACAAACTGTCTCCTCTCCCAATTCCCCACATGCTTCCCTTCTCTGGGCTTCCAGATACCCCTCAGCGGCTGTCAAGCCCATCCAGAACTTTCTGAGGTGGGGCCTGGAGTGAAAGAGACCCCGGGGGGGGAGGGCAGAGAGGTGGGTCTTCTCCACGTGCTGCTCACTCCGCACGAACGGAGAGGATCAGCTTGGAGGACAGCAGCCCAGGATGTCTGGGGTGGGTCGGTGGCGTTTAAGATTAGGGATCTCGGACGAACTTACGTGAAAGACGCACTCCTAAAACATTTTAAAAAATTTTACCCCAAATGGTGGATAAAACATAATTTCATAGTTTGGGGGTGGGGGGAATGAACACCCGTATTACTATTGAACTTAAGAGATAGAATATTACTGGGGTCTTAGGAACCCACTCTCCCCTCCAATCACATGGCCTCTCCTCCTGCACCTGCACAGTAACCACTATCCTGAGCTTCCTATTAGTCATTCTTGTCTCTCCTTTGTAGTGGGAATGTGTGCATGTGTGTGTGCGTGTGCGCATGCCCATGCATGATCTGCGACTGGAGATATTTAGGTTGTCTTCCAGATTTTGCTATTAAACATATTTTGGGGGATGCCTGGGTGGCTCAGTCGGTTAAGCATCTGCCTCCGGCTCAGGTCATGATCCCGGGGTCCTGGGATGGAGCCCCGCATTGTGCTCACTGCTCCACGGGGAGTCTGCTTCTCCTTCTCCCTCTGCCGCTCCCCCTGCTTGTGCTGTTTCCCTCTCTCTCACACAAATAAATCTAAAAGACAAAACAAAACTAAAAACCCCACATATTTTTGTACTTCTTGTGATATGAGAGATTTCTGGTTGCTGCTTCTTAACCGTGGTTACATGTTGGCATTACCTGAGACACTCATTAATGGGATCTCTATGCCCAAGTTGGGGCTTGAATTCATGATCCCGAGATCAAGCCAGGAGCC